CGTACGCAGAGGCAACAGCTCCACACACAATGGATACACCAGTGCTCATGATTGGGTGCGGAACGATTCTATATGCGGTTGTCCACATAGTGTAGCAAAGTTGAAGTGAGTTCGAATTAATTAATTTAAAATGCCTTTTTGTATAGTGATTATCTAGTTTCGAATCAGATACCATACTATGTTTTTACGCGACAACGAGCTGGCTCGTGGGGGTCGGGTCCGGCGGGATGACCGCACGCGTGTGCTTCAACTGGCAAGAGAGCAGCGAAAAGAACGGGAACGGCGTCATGAGCACGAAAAGGCTGCAAAAGTTTTGCATGCGTTTGTGCGTGGGCGTCTTACTGCACGACGAGTGCGGACACTCACGCGCATTGAGTTTGACCAAAAACTGAGCGACATTTGTAATTTAAAGACCATTTTACAGCTTCCCAATATGCCTTTGTCTTATCATGTGCTCTTTGAGGTACGTTTTTCTGTCTAGACTGCAAAAATTGGGTGAAGTCTCAGAGTTGACTTGTGTACAAATGCTGACGTAGTTGCTGCAATTACTTCAATCTTTTTATACAAAAAGTGTCGACGATGTGCAAAGATTGCAGCACTTTAGTTTATTGTTCATTGACGCTCTAGCTGCTGCTAAGGATGGAATACAGAAAAATGAAGGAAAAGAGAGAGAGTGGAAGCTGCAACGACTTGTTGACATGTGTTTACAATGCGGCACTTGCTCAGCTTCAGTCAATACTGTGACGGGGTTACAACTTGTTAGAATGCTAATGGACTTGCTACCAGAGGTGAAGCAATACTTGTTGTCGGGTCAATTGACTGTGATGTCACAACAAGTTGGAAAGATGCTGTATAGTGAGATGCCAAGCGCCTCAGTGATTCGAATTATTCGACAAGAGTTTTTACTCGCAAGAAATCAATTATTGTATGCATCTTGTACGAAGGAATCGAGCCATTGTAATGCTTTGATGGAATTTGTGGTGCATTTGCTTACGATGACGAGTGAAATTCAAGAAGCGTTTGTGATGGAAGTAAGTCGTGTCATAATAGTGTAAATTGTAATCCTTGAAACTTTTATTCATTCAATTTTTCGAGTGTATTGCAGATTCTCTCTGTTCCACTTTTAAATCAAATCGTTGCAGCTGATCGACTGCTCCAGCTCACCAACTTGTCTCTCTGGGTCAGACTATTGCGTGCTGGATTGCAATTGTCAGTATTTGATATTCCCGCATCGCCCGTTTCAGGAATTGCATCAGAAGCGTGGCTTCTCGGAAATATTCTTTGGTTATCTGAGCGGTGAGTACATACAAACTTTAATTGATAATCAAAATAATTAACAGATCATGAATTTTAGTGTGGAAAGTAAAAGTGACGCGATCGTCTTGAGCGAAGTTCAGCTTTTATCTAAGCTTCTGCAGTCAGTGCCTCCAGTAACTTATGCTGCATCTGGCGTAGCAGTTTCATGGACAAAAGTTTCAGAGTCTCACTCGGTGCCCGTGGTGTTTCCGGACGCTTTGAATGAGCAGCTCCGAATTCTGGTACATGATCAGTACTTGCGCGCAATGTGCAATCATCTTCTTTCATTTTCGCCGAGCGCTCTGCGCCATCCGCTAGCAACTCAGCGCCCGATACCAATGTACCCTGAAGCATCAACGATCGCTGTAAGGATGACAAAGTCACCCAATTTGGAGTCATCTTTATCGTAACACCAATGTTGTGTGTTTAGGAGCAATTCGGTTTTGGTGATATCGCTTCTGCCTCATCATTATCAACGTCACTTTCAATTACATGGCAGAAAGTGAAATCAATCGGAAAAGCGACATGGGCCCGTAACTTATTACAGAAAGCGGGGTTGCGGCGTAGACAAGATGACAGTGGAGAACGGTTTATCGTTGATGAGAAATTGCAGTTTACGAATACCTCGAAAGAAATGCAGCAGCAGGTTGACGATGACCAAGAGCCAGCAGCCCCTATAGCTCAGCATGCAGCGACTGCAATGCTCTCAAAAGCTCAAGGTCCTTTTGAACTTGAAAAGGTTAAGGCTCTATCCTGTCTATGCGGGACATTTCTATTTCGATGGGGGAATGATGGCGGTAAGCGACAATCGTATGCCATGCGTCTACTCAATACGCTGGCATTCTACCATGTCGAAACTGTCAAAAGTGAGGAAAATGCAACGCAATGCGTCTCTCTGGTAGAGATGCTGTGGTGTGTATTGCAAGACACTAAAAACTTTGAAGTGTATGCGCGGGTAGAGTGAAGATATAGCAAATAATTTTGCTTAGACGTACAGGGCTAACAACATGATGTATGGCAGAATGTCGATTTGATCCATGCACGTAGTTCTGACCCGTACGTGTGCATGTTGTTGCTGTTTTGCATGTCGTACGAACACCTGTTGGTCGTAATGGATGATGAAGAGGTGAAGCTTTGCACCACGGCACAAATTCTCTAGTGATAAAAGTGTATTAATACTGTCTGGTGCTGTGAAAGATGTACGAACAAGAGTATCCACTGCCGCTATGTCAAATCGAGCGGATCGTACTGAGTCTAAAGCATGCGCTTTATGAAGCGTATTGGACGTACGCTCATCTCGCACCTTCGACTGAGTCCGTTGCATTTGGTATGTTTGTCGTCGAAATGGGGACTCGGTTGATGCGAGTTCTTTATAATCGATGTTCTCGGCAGCCTTTTTGCAACGTCACGAGCTGGTACGCTGCTCTAATGATCTAGTTACATCTATTTGTTAGCTACAGACTAATATGATGTCCGTAGGATCATTGCCGAGCTTAATAGTAGCCAATTGATTGAAGAGGTTCTGTTTGGAACCCCGCGAGCAAACAAGCTCATTCAATCGATGCCGTATCTTGTACCTTTTAGTGAACGAGTCAAACTATTTCAACGCCTTGTCAAGTCCGACAAAGAGATACACCAAAACGAAAACTCCTCAGTCTACCGCATTCGAATTCATCGTAGTGCTATTCTTCAAGATGGTCTACGAAAATTAAACACGATTCGAGCAAATCTGAAAAAGCGCATTAATGTGGTATTTGTGAATGCTGCTGGACGTGAGGAAATGGGAATTGATGCGGGTGGTCTCTTCAAAGAGTTTTGGCTGGATTTGTCGACACTAGCGTTCGATCTGCAGTATGGCCTTTTCCTAACTACTCACGATGAATTGCTTTATCCAAACCCTAGTTCAGCTTCCGGTCACTTTTCGCGTGAAAGCGACCACTTAACAATGTTTCAATTTGTTGGTCGAATATTGGGAAAAGCTCTTTATGAAGGTATTGTGGTTCAGCCGAAATTCGCCCACTTTTTTCTTTCAAAACTTTTGCATTCATTCAATCACTTGAATGAGCTGCCGTCATTGGATCCTGAAATTTACAGGGTGAGTATGACTTGTATATTGACATCATCTGTGTGCTCAAAATTGGTACTGCTGAATAGAATTTGATGTTTCTCAAGTCGTATGAAGGAGATGTCGAGGATCTTGGTCTAACGCACACGATTGTTCAGGAAGTATTTGGTGAGCAGAAGGAGATTGAGATTATTCCTGGTGGTGGGAATATACCTGTGACGAATCGGAACAAAACGCGGTACATCCATCTTGTTGCAAATTACTATCTTAACACTCAGATCCGTGAACAGTGTGCAGCTTTTCGAATGGGATTATCGGATCTGATTGACCCACGCTGGCTTCAGATGTTTAATGAGCCTGAATTACAAGTGCTTATTTCTGGAAAAAGCGGTAAGATCGACGTTGACGACCTCCAGGCGAATACTCGGTACACCGGTGGCTATTACGCTATGGACAAACGTGTAGCATGGTTGTGGCAAGCATTAGCGAGTTTTACGCCGTCTGAACAGGCAGCGTTCTTACGCTTTACAACGAGTTGTCAACGCGCTCCGTCACTAGGCTTCGCCTCGCTCACCCCGCAGTTTTGCGTTCAAAAGGTTTCGGTTCAAAACGACGACGAGCTTCTGCCGAGCTCTTCGACGTGTTTCAACACATTAAAACTTCCCACATATTCTTCGTATAAGGTACTACGTGCTAAACTGCTTACGTCCATCTCAGCCGGCGCTGGATTCGAGATGACATAAGATTTCAAATAAAGTGTCAAAAACGCGTACAAGTTTAATACGAAATATGCTCATTAACTTTGCACCAAAAACGGACAATAGTGTACAATTAAATCGCTGACTGAGCATGAGCACAGCGCAGAATGAGATCCGACGGTTAATGAAGAAGGCCAAGCAACATCCTGGTATCACTAAACCTGACAATAAGACATTGATTGTTGATTCAAAGGATGTTGTGATTCAGAACAACAATTTGACCATGAGTCGAGTAGAGAAAGCAATTCCTGTGGGCTTCTATGACGACGCGGTGGCCGACGCTAAAGCTCGTAAAGTAGATGTGATCGGATTAGCAGAACAGCAACTCGAGTCTGAGTGGGAAGCATTTCAAGAATTTGCGGCCAAGGTGGAACAGCAAGAAGCCGACGAGGAGAAGCAGCAACTGGAGGAGACTAAAGAACGCGAGGCTGTAGAGCAGCTCGAGAACATGGAATATGTGGACAGATACCGCTTAGCGTTAGAGCGTGTGAGTAGCCTCCGTAAAGGAGGCACAAAATTAAAGACAACGAAACGGGAGCTAGAAATTATGTCTGAAGATGCAGGTAGACAAGCTGGCGATGTAGAGAGCGATTTTGATGCTGAAGTAGTGCGAAGTGAGTACAAGAGAAACAAGAGGATGAGAAAGCAGCTTTTGAAGAACGAAAAATCTGCTGATGCAGTTGATCCTTGCGATTGGCGTTCTCGCGGCATCTGAGACTAATGAATACGATTATACGAGAAACTGGCTGGTCAAGTCTTAGTTTGGACATTCAAGTTAGATGATTCTTCAATTCAATCAAGGTTTGTTAAAGTTCTTACTGCACGTATAATGGCACATTTCCTCTAGAGCTTAGACCAAGTTCACGATAGCGTACAGAATCACTCCA